ATCAACACTGCCAATAGCTCCAATTTAGTTTAAGTGAAGAAACATTTATTCAAATGTAAAACACATTCCCACTAACCATTTATTGTTAGATTTGGTCACAGAACCTCGTATCACATAGACCTGCTGCATTAAAGCAAAGCTCTTTCTTTAACAGGAGACCATTATTTCACAATATATCACCTTATTGGTTCAGATTTTCTTTTGGTCTTCTTCCCCTTACCAGGAGCTGATTTCTCCCCAGTTCAGCTGTGATTAAATACCCCTCTGACTTTCCTCTCATCTTTTAACTTTTTTTTTTTTTTAATAGCTATGACCCACCTACATAGTCATCCTCTTATTTATACAAATCAATACGATATATACTTTTAACAGCCTCATTCATTAGAGCACTGGCTATCTAATCCATTATTTCCATAGCAGACACACAAAACTCCATGCTTGGAATTATACTTTAGATATGTATAATATGGCTGGCTCACTAATAGCTACCAAATACAGGTCTACCATGTAGACAGGAACTCAAACCCTGATAAGGAGAGGGTTTGAAGAAGCTGCTGAGTTGTATGTGCTTTGCAAAGTAATTTGAGTTCTGAACATATATTTAAGAACATAATTTGGCTCTAGATATGTCAACTGATCAATTAGAAAATGTCATTATGAAAGGCAACTTGTGCATAATTTTCAAAGTCAAATGCTCTCTGCTCTTTAATTATAAACAGAAGCAAAGGTGCCAAGCTATGCTTAGCATAACATATCTAAATAATCTTAAGAAAGTTTTGTCATACTTTTTGGTGAAATTAATCACTGTCGATGTGCTGACTTTGAGAGATGAATAATAAACACTATTTCTCAGGTATTTTGATGTTAAAATGTGATCATTTTAAAATTAAGCATTTTATTTTAATGAAATTTAAGAACTATAATAAATGGTTTAGGAAATACTGGCAATCTGGCTCTACTAGGAGGTGCCAGGGTGACCAACAAACAACTTTTAATTAGTGCATTTTAAATAGTGGACAAGCTATCACAGCCCAAAACCCAGAAAAACTGTAAATGCTAATTTTTGCTGCTTTTTGAGGGGCAACTGCCTTATAAAGCTAGAAGGGGGCATTAACAAAGGGTAATTTTAATCTAGCAAAACTAACCTCCATCGATTCTCACTGCAGTCAACAGCGGAAAAAGTGTGACAGAAAAGGATTTTTTGTCAGCTTTAGTCCATCACGCTACTATTCTGCTAGTGCAAAGGATAGTCCTGCTTTTCCCTCCACCATAATTTCAACCATTTTAAAAGCAAGATGCAGAGATACTATTAGCCAGCTGACCTGCCAAGCTTACATTTCCAAATTACCATACAGCTGCATGACTGTTAGTGACTGCCCAAGGCAGCTGGAAGATATAGGGTACTAGAGGTTGGGAAGTTCCCACTTTCTGGTGGCAGCACAAGCTTGGATCAGCTTAAGCTAATCATTTAACCGAAGGCCTAGGTTTATCTATTAAATTCAGTGATAAAGAGCAGGAGATACACTGGAGTCTCTCTCAGTCTCTCCTCCCATTCAGAGGGAGCAGAGCTAAGTGTAACCCCACTAGGCCAAAAGTTTGTCTCCGTGAATATGTATGAATTGCTCCTCTTTCATGGCAGGTTATCAGAGATGAGAAATGTTGAATGATCACAGTGCTTCAACAGCAAATCATAGTTTGCTGACTGTCATCTTTCACCCATTAGTATCACTAGTTCCATACTGTTTACTCTTTAACTCAAAAGCTGTATCATCAGCTTTGCTTTTTCAAATTCTGTGGCTCTACCCGTTTCAGCCATTTGTGAATGCCCCCATTCTTATCAGGAAATCTAGCTGCCAAACTTACGCATAACACCTCAGCAAACCGCAAAACTATTACTAGACACATGAAGTCCGGAACGCAGGGCACAAGCAGCAGCTGAATGTCTCATTGCTTCAGTATTTTAGAAAAATAACAAACTTAAATCACGTGGCTAGCTCTTAAAGCTGGGTGCTAGCCATGTTCTTCCAGTTAGACAGGAGGCAAGTGCTCACCCTGAGAGTACTCTCCAGCCTCCTCTAAAAACTACAGTTCTATGGTACAAAGCTGTCAGCAACAATTCTAACCTTTTCTTCCCACCCACTACCCCCTGTATCTGTTTGTACTCAATGGCACATTAGGACAACTATTTATACGGCACTAGCCACTGCCAAATCTGTGAACTGAATTCGTCAAGATCATGGTCAAGATACAGAAATGAAGCACGTATTGCTCCTGAACACTTTGCACTGTGAAATTATTGCCTAAGAAAATACAGGGAAAAGAGAGGATCCAGTGAAACCACCCTCCACAGAGAAAACTATGCACTGGCGTAGGTTCCATTAAGAAACCAAAACCAGTTATGGAACTTGCGACATACCAGTGAGTACCCTGAGATTTAAGGAACTGAATGTAACGATTAAATGCCAAGGTTCCATCCCTTCCTTACTCATATACACATTCATATATCTGACCCCAGCATAAAAAGATCGAGCCTCTTAATATGAACAAGGCACACAGAAAATCTTTGTGATATGTAAACGGCAACCTGGACTGCAAAGAGCTAAGCAGAATTTGGGGTTTGTAAAAAGTAGCTGAAAATTCATAGCTATTATCTAAATAATAACATACAAGTCTGTGAGCATCAAGTCTAATTTCATTACACAAATCTTCAAGATCATCCGTAGTTCAAAAACCAGGTTAGAACAAATTTGTGTGCTTCAGTTGCTTTTTGCTACATTTAAGTCAAGCAGGATTTTTAATAGCTGAAAAAACATGTAGAAATAAAAATCTGTTACTGTTCCATTACTGCTTTTCAATTTTATGCTGCTCTAGGCATTGTAACGTAGTATCATTAGTACTCCTAACGTAAACTGCTGTCATATACAGTGCAGTGTTTACAGAACATACACTGTACAAAAAACACTTTCACACCTCTCTGCTCCTATTAAGCATTTTTCTTTGATAAGATAGCACATAATTTGCAGTTTGTGACAGAGTCCTTGAATTTTTTAGCTTATTTTTGCTGTAAGCAGTTCTGCTTCACATTTTGTAAAGCCTTTTTTTATTACTCTGTATGAACTGTTTTGTTTACATGGCATGTGATCTAGGCAGAGAAGAAAGAGCCTTCCTGCTTCAACCTAGCCAGGTTGAAGGCTAACAATTAGGGAAAAGCAGGGCTCCCAATGAGCTGCTGCTCTTATTTTCACTGAGGGAACTCCCACAGCCACCCTCACAACAGCAGACAGTAAACAGTCGTCTGCATTTATAATGACCACTTGAGTATTTTCAATGCATAGCCACATAGAAATCAATGTATTGAGAAAGACAGTAATGAGGAATCTTATATACCACTGGCCCATCAGCTTTGCTGTCCCACTGCACACTCTTAGAAATGGTATTTGTTCTTCCTATTGGTCTCAGATTTAATTTCTTTAATGTCCTTGTGGGTATCAAACTAAAGTATCATGCAGGCAGCACACGGCTAGGGAACCATAACCTGGAAAGCCGTTGTTAAAGATGATGCAAGTAGTAGTTCCACCAGAGTATTTAATGCTTCATGTTGCAAGGTGGAGTTCAGTGGTTTGGAGCTCTGTCAAAAACTTTAGCTGCTCCATGCTTCAGTATGCATCTTTTATTATTTAGGCTGTTGATCCACTGACACTTTAAACTGGCATAAGCTGGGACTGCCCCTGCTCGTTTCTGTTCTTCTTTTGTGCTGACACAAAGTGTTTAAACATTTGCCAAGTCAAATGGATCATAAAAATGATCTGAATAGAAACTAACACGCAAAATGGTTAATATACAAATGAACAGACAAATAGGTTCAGTTCTAATCCAGATCAATTCTCCAGTCTGGTTTACTGAATGGCCATAGAAACTCTTATGCTGACCCACAGAGGGGGACAACACAGGGTTAGCAGTGATCAGCTGAAAGTGGGAAGACGATGAGATTGCTCCTTTCAGTGTCCTCCATGCATTCCTGAGCCTATTTGATTCACTGAACAGGCAGAAAACTAATCAATCAAAACAGTGAACACTTCCTGTTTCCCAGTTCAGCACAGGGTTCAACAGAGCCTGTTTCAACAAAGTTCCTGTTCCAGCAGAGCTGGAGAACTGGAGATGAGAGCATACGGCTATGACAGAGGGCTGGAGATGAAGGAACAGGAACATGGAAAGGCTAGAAACAGGGATGGATGGAAAGAGTGGCTTTTACGTTT